TGCTTATGCATGTGTGATATCAACTAACACAATTTAACTATCAAATGCAATCACTGTGTCCTCACCCGAAAGAAGTCCCTCACTCATGATAACTGGACTAATTTCTACATTCACACTCTCAAAGAACTTCTAACACTAACAACAAAAGACCATAAGCTTGCCCTTGCTTTATACACTTTATCTATCAAACAACTACAATAGGATCACTTTAGGGCTTTATCAGCTTGTAACATAGGCTCAGGCTAGGGAATGGATTTTTGGGTTTGTGAGTGATAAGTACCTTGGTTCTCCAAAGTTTTGTTCGCACACAATTTTTTCTGAGCGATTCCCTCTTTTTCTTCCTTTCAGTACATCCCAACAACCATTATTTTACTTTTTTTAGTCTTTCCTTTGTTTATATATATATATATATATATTACATTTTGTTCTTTCAGCTAACTGGTTGAACCTTCTTTTTTACATCTTCTTTCTGCTCGGGTTGCAATCACCATCAACTTAGGCTTTGGCCTGAGTTGTGACATCGTATCTTCGGAGAACCAATGATATGATATTTAATGGGTAAGAACAAAATTGATTTTGAGGCTCAAATCAGGTTCAAGTGATAAGCTTTTTATTTGGTTGTTTTATTTTGGGTTTTAATGGCTTAGCAAAAATGGCCTACTGATCCTTTCCTATTCAGTTATTCTCTGATATAAGCAAGACTACTCGGGCAAGTTCTAGTTTCTGCTCCTAGCGTTAAACTTCAAGCAAACCTCACACACACATGACACAGACTTACATTTTCCAGTTTATTAGTTCACCAATTTATTCATCAGACTAGGAGTGATCAACTCATCAGTACCTAAGATGTTATCAAAAGAGCCTAACAGTTAAATTTCAGATTAAGGCCTTCATTTAAAAAATAACTAGGTTGCTGCACAATTCAACACAAAAACTTCACATTTTCCTCCAAAACACAAACACACCAATCACAATTATCAGACAAACATAGAGTCAACCTCCATTCATTCTAACAGCTAAAATGTCAAGTTACTCACCATCCCCTCCCTAAACAAAAAGACTTTACCCTCAAATTCAATGAAGGAAAATAATACAGGGCTGTGAGGAGGGGTCATACCTATGGCACACTAGGCTCCGGTAGCCGGATCAACGTCGGCACCCTTATCAATCGGTGCACTCTCAGAAACCAACTTTGGATCAGGCTTTGCACCACTAACCGGGATAGGTACTCCGCTACCAGAAGCGCCAGCAAACACCACATCTCGCTGTTGTTGCAAAAATGCCTCATTTTCTCTTGCCTTCTTCCTCGATGCTTTGCGGGCTTTCTTGTGTTGTCGTCTTTCCTCTTTGGATAGGTCAGCAGATAGCTCCTCATCAGACTCTACGGCTTTGTGTTTTCTCTTGCCGGACTTAATCTTGGGTAGCTCTCCCCAGAAATCGTCAAGTGATTAAGTGGTAGGCGTCTCATTGAACAATTTCATAAAAGAGTCTGGCATGACTAGATTGGGCACCTGTACCAGTTTTTCAGCTAGTTTAGTAACTTGAGCTCGTATCTCAGCCAACTGCTTCTTGAACTCTTCAATATTGCTTGAACCGGCAACCTGCAACTGCGCTTGGACATGGGCCTCCAAGCCATCCATCCTATTTTTTAAAATAGCAAGCTTGAACTTGCATTTCATCTTTTACGTGCTTCTCCGCAGCTAACACATCGCGCTCTATGAGCTGGGGCATCCAGTGGATAATTTGGTCGACCAAAGTCTTGGTATGTTGCTGATCTGCAACCAAATTTTCAAGGAAAGCAGTAGGAATAGTGATAAAAGTAGTTGTAGCCTGGGAGGTTGAAGCTGGTGGTGGTGATGGTGCCCCCGAAGTTGGCTGTGAGGATTCATCCGACTCAGTTTGGCCTTCAGCCTGTGGGAGGACTGCTGTTGTATGTGGTACAACCATTAATGGTCCCACTGCTCCTGATTTTCTCCCAAACAAAGGATTGGCAACATCTTGGATTTTGGAAGTTGCAGTTATCTTGGATGCCTCAACCGGTTTATCCACCAACTTATTTCGGGGAATGTTATCCTACAAACAAAGTTTCCCTATCAGACAGGGAACGACAAACCTGCTCGCTCATTCAGCGCGCTCTCTCGCATCTCCATGGCGATGATCTGACCCACATTCACAAGGTATCCGTCCATGAGGCACGCGACCAATGATACCAGTGATGGAGAAAGTGTATTATCATTTGTTGTGGGTTGAAACTGTGCTCGAACTATGGACCACCAGACCTTGGCCGGAAAGTTGAGGGACGCCTTTGTAATCAACACATGTGGATCAGACACCCATGCTACCGCTTCTCATTCTGCGGCGGTATAACCTACAATTCAATGCATGATGCGCTCTCTCGAACTAGGATCCTCCATCTCCGACTCACTCGTGACAACATGGTGTTTACCCTCAAATAGTCCTACAAAAGTTGGCGTTGTATACTCTAGGTCATGTAACATCCTATTGATTGTTTCCTTAGAGATGTTCACTATCCTTCCCTGCACAGTGACTGTATCCAAAGGATCCAGTGTGGCTGCAACTGTCTTCTATTCTCTCTTCGTTGTTTTAGTTTTCGTATCAATGTTCATTAGAGTGGATGTGTAAATTGCACAGAACTCTCGAGGTAGGTGGCTGGTGTATTCCCGAGGAGCATTGTTCATCCATTCAAACTGGTGAAGCTAGAATAGTATATAAATATCTGGGAATGCCTAGATGTCTGCCATCACTACCCTAGTCTCAGGCATGAGTGGTCTATTTCTAAATCCACCCAACTTATTCACGATTCCATTATTGAAGAAATCTTCCGACCTGTTCACTGTCCGAATAGATCTGAAACAATCAATCAGCTGCTGTCTTACCACTAGTTCAAATTCGTGGAGGTGAACATATTGGACCATTGTATCATATGGGGTAACCTCATCATCCCACTCTTCGGCACCTGCCTTTGTCTGAGCTCCAGGTACAGCCTCTGGTCCTACTGCAGTGGAGATGTGGTTACATCTTCCTGAGAGCCGCTTTCGGACTCTGTACTGCCTCCCAAACCATCATTAGACTGGCTACCTGATTCCTCACCGCTACCAGAACTACTACCTTCCTCTTCAGACGGGAAATGAGTGTTCTGGAGAATCGCCCTCGCGGTCTGGGATCTAGTAGTTCGAGGTGAGACTCCTCAATGGTGGTATTTATCTGAACCTCAGGAACTACTAGACTCTGAAGCGTTTTGACCTTTCGATTGATAGGGTGTAGGTGAGGAATGTTTAGTTCCGTTCTTTCTTCGAGGAGCCATAGTACCCGAGAAATACAAAAACCCATTAGTACGCAAAATAGTAAAATGACACACTATCGGGTACTCAGACTTTCCCTGTGCAATTACAACGTGACACCTTACCTTAAGAATGTCGTCACCCAATCTATCATTGGGAAAGGCCACAGAATTAAAATACAGAAAAGAAATAAAAATACAAAAGCAAAACTAAAATAAAATAAAAATATCTATTTTTTTTATACGGAGGTCTACACGGGTCGTAGTAGCTCCAACGATTCGTGGAGACCGTCGTGAACAAGCCTTGAACATAGGTGCAGATAGGGGCCATACTGGTTAAAGTTCATGGAGGGCTTAACGGCCCGTAGAGTGAACCATGGTTCATGAAAGCCCCCATGAAAGTAATAGTGTGAATTTCATATGCTAAGTGTGGACCACGATTGGTTTCACGGGGTGTGGTGGTCATCATGGTCCGTGAACCCTATTGTGAACTTACACTTCACATATATTCAGTGCCCTTTTCTCTCAAAATCACCATAGGTTAGGCTACACCCATTTGTAGTACATGATCACAATGCAACTACTAAATCCATTAATATCCATTAAGCACAACGCAACTAAACACAATACTCATCCAACAAACACATACTCACAAGGGAACACTGAGTATTCCTTCAATTTCATCCTAATAGACCGGCGAAACTCACATAGACAAACTGAACTTAAGAGATTTCGACACAATTTCTTACTAATAGCATCATGCTATACTAATTTCTCAAAAATTGATCATACCCATACATCAACACTAGTTGTACACAAATTCAACCACCCCACATAAGATTACAACTAATTTAAACAAAACCCACAACAATTCATCAGACCCTCATAAGTAAATATCATCAAAGATAATACTGGTCAAATTCAATCAAATAGAAGTAGATCTAACTTGTTTCTAGATAAGATTACACTCATAACAAGAGCATGGGGAAACTTACTTCGAATGAGATCACAATTATTTTTCACTACACAGAGAAACAATGAACCACACTTTGATGACTTGACACTAGTACTTGGGTTCGATTGTTCGATGAAGTTGAAACTTATGGTTGATGAAAAACCTCTTTATGCCTTTGATAACCATTATGGAAGAGAGAATGAGATGAAAAATACCTGACCCTCGGCGCTTGAAGAGTAATATATACGTTTCTTTTTAATCTTTCCATACGCAAGGGTCGGGTCATGTGGCAGTGATAATGGGTTAGGGATGACAGACTGTGAAGTGGCCCGTGAAGGGTACCATGGTTCGTATAGTGGTCTGTAAACATGACTTTGGAGGGTTGACTTACCTGAGGTTCATGAGAGGCTAAACGGTCCGTACAAAGCTTGACGGACCGTGAACCCTTTCGTGAATCAATTTATGGCAATTTCCAGTAGCCTCATTTGGCTGGTGTTGAGGATGACGGGCCGTGAAGTTGCCCGTGAAGGGCACCCTGGCCCGTGGGACTGCTCGTGAAGAGTTGTCTGCACCTAAGTTTTGTCATTCTTAGTTCAAATCCTTCCTGCACACATCAACACAGTGACTCTATATAAACAAAGAAAAATGACAAAAAGAAAACTACCTATTACAATTACAATCTTGGGTTGCCTCCCAAGCAGCACACAATTTAACGTCGCGGCACGACGCAGGTTACTTGATTACTCAGACTTCATCAAGCTTACATTCATCCACTAATTTCACTTCTTCTGGAACACCCAAGTATGCCTTGATTCGCTGACCATTGGCCTTGAACCTCTCACCCTTGTCATTCTCAAGCTCAATAGCTCCCGAATGAACACCTGAGTTACCTTAAAAGGTCCAGACCATTTGGATCTCAACTTCCCCAGAAACAGACGAAGTCTGGAGTTGAAAAGCTACACCAAGTCACTAGGAGTGAAGGTTCTTTTCTCAATATGCTTATCATGATACAACTTCATCCTCTCCTTGTACAATGCAGACCTCTCATATGCTCTCAAGTGAAACTCATCCATCTCATTGATTTGATCCAGTCTCAGGTTTACCGTTTCACTCTAACTTAGATTCAGCTTCTTCAATGCCCAGAGTGCCTTCTGCTCAAGCTCAACTGGAAAATGACATGCCTTTCCAAACACCAATTGATATGGAGACATACCAATAGGTGTCTTGAAGGCTGTCCGATTTGCCCATAGAGCATCATCTAACTTTCGTGCCCAATCTTCCATGTTGGCATTCACTCTTTTTTCCAGAATCGCCTTTATTTCCCTATTGGATACCTCAACTTGGTCACTAGTCTGTGGGTGATAATGTGTTACCACCTTGTGTTGTTTAACCCCATATTTGGCTAGAAGCGCAGTGAATACCTTGTTGCAAAAGTGGGAACCGCCATCAATGATAATAGCTTTGGGTGTGCCAAACCTTGAGAAGTTATTCTTTTTCAGAAAGCCAGCAACACTTTTGCCATCATTCTCAGGCAGAGAAACTGCCTTAACCCATTTGGACACATAGTACACTGCCACCAGTGTATACTTCCTGCCCATAAGAGCTCACAAATGGGACCATGAAATCAATTCCCCACACATCAAATAACTCTACCTCCAGAAAAAGTGTCATTGGCAGCTCGTGGTGTCGAGAGATGGCTCCTTGCCGCTGGCACACATCACAACTCCTTACTATATCCATTGCATCTTGATGAATTATAGGCAGAAGTACCCACTCTGAAGCACCTTATGGACTATCTGAGCGCCTCTATGATGGCCACCCACTGGAGAGGAGTGACAAGCCTCTAGAATATTCAACATCTCAGCTTCAGGGATGCATCGCCTGATGATATTATCAGCACACACCCTGTAAAAATAGGGCTCATCCTAAAAATACTTACCCACATCATGCAGGAACCTCTTCCTTTGCTGAAATGTCAGCCCCTCATGCATCAAGTCACTAACAAGAAAGTTAGCAAAACCAGCAAACCAAAAAATATGATCAAGAGTTGCAGTTAATACCTGCTCATCCGGGAACAAATCATTGATTTCTAGCTCAAGTTCCTCTTTCTTTTCAGCCTCCAACCTAGACAGGTGATCAGCCACCTAGTTTTCACAAACTCTCCTATCCTTAACCTCAAAATCAAACTCTTGAAACATCCACACCCATCTGATCAGCCTTGGCTTGGTATCTTTCTTTGCCATGAGGTATCTCAGAGCTGCATGATCCGTGTGGACTATCACTCTAGTACCCATCAAGTAGTCTCTGAATTTCTCGAAAGCATACACCACAACCAGTAGTTCCTGTTCAGTGACTGTGTAGTTTTGTTGTGCTCAATTTAGTGACTTGCTAGCATAATAGATCAGATGGAACATCTTGTTGCATTTCTGTCCCAACAGAACTCCTAGGGCAGTACCACTAGCATCGCACATTACCTCAAATGGTTCAGCCCAATATTGGCCAATGATCACTGGGGAAAAATCAGCTTCTCCTTCAGGCATTCAAAGGCTCTTAGACATGCCTTATCAAAAGCAAATTTCACCTCCTTCTCTAAAAGCTTACACAAGGGGTGTGTAATTTTTGAGAAGTCCTTGATGAAACGCCTATAAAATCCGGCATGTCCTAAAAATCTTCAAACAACTTTCACACAAATATGTGGAGGCAACTTTTCAATCACCTCAATTTTGGCTTTGTCAACCTCTAACACTTTTTGTGACACCTTGTGACCAAGGACTCTACCTTCCTTGACCATGAAATAGTACTTCTCCCAATTCAGCACTAGATTGGCCTCCTTGCATCTCTGTAAAGCCCTGCTAAGATTGAGCAAACATTCATCAAAAGTATCACCTACCAATGAAAGTGGTCCATGAATACCTCCAGAGTGTCCTCCACCATGTCTGAAAAGATAGACATCATACGCCTCTAGAAATTTGTTGGTGCATTACATAATCCAAATGGCGTGCGTTTAAATGCAAAGGTGCCATAGGGACATGTAAAAGTGGTATTTTCCTAATCTTCAGGAGCAATTGATATCTGGTTATGGCCAGAGTATCCATCCAAGAAACAGTACCACCCTTTTCTAGCCAACCTGCCAAACATCTAGTCCATGAATGACATTGGGAAGTGATCCATCAAGGTCCACTTGTTCAACTTTCTGTTGTCCATATACACTCGTCATCCAGTGACTGGTCGCTGCAGGATCAACTTATTCTTCGCATTTACAACCACTTTCATACCACCCTTTTTGGGCACACATTGCACTAGGCTGACCCAATAACTGTTAGAAATGGAGCACACAACCCCAACATCTAACCACTTGATGATCTCCTTTTTGACCACCTCTTTCATTGGTGGATTTAACCTCCTCTGGTGTTCAATGATTGGGCTGCAGTCCTCCTCAAATTGGATCTTATGAGTGCATATACCCGAAGGGATCCCGATGATGTTAGCAATGGTCCACCCAATTGCCCTTTTATACCTTATCAACACTTTGATCACAGCTTGAACTTGTTCATCATTCAAATCTGCAGCCAAGATCACAGGCAAAGTGTTGTTAGTGCCCAAAAACACATACCTCAGGTGACAAGGTAATTGTTTTAGTTTCAACACATGCGGCTCCTCAATGGACGGTTTTGTTGGTGGACTTGGCCTGTTTTTCAAATCCAGGTCCAGTTCTTTGAAGCATAAGAGTGTGCTCCCATACCCTGTAAAGCATTTACGGTTTCCACATAGTCAGTCGGAAATCCGCTTCAAAATTCTTCAACACGGCTACTAATGTTTTAACAGCCAGCCTCTCCTCAATGGTCGCTCCCATCTCTTTTTCATCAAAGGTTTCTATCGCAGATACCACATTCATGTCATGCAGCTGTTTCATTGACCTATAAATGTTAAACTTTACCTCTTCCTTGTTGAGTCTGAATTTCACTTCTCCACTCTCAACATCTACCAATGCTCGTCCTATGGCCAAAAATGGTCTTCCCAAAATTATGGGAACCTCAAAATCTACTTCGGAATCCAAGATAACAAAGTCTACCGGAAAGATGAAAGTGTCCACCTTTATGAGCACATCACATAAGATGCCCACAGGTCGCTTCACCGACCTATCTACCATCATCAACCTCATTACTGTGGGTTTTGAAATTCTTAACCCCAGTTGATTGTAGATGGCCAGCGGCATCAAGTTTATACTGGCCCCTAAGTCACACAAGGCCTTTGCAAATTTGATTGATCCGATGGTACACGGTATGGTGAATGCATCCGGATCCTCCTTCTTCTGTACCAGAGACCTGGTAGGAATAGCACTGCAGTGATGAACATTGTCAGTAAAATCAATACTTACAACTCTTTTCTTCGTGACCAAGTCCTTCATGAACTTAGCATATCCTGGAATCTTCTCTAGGGCTTCAACCAATGGTATGCTCACTGATATATGTCTCAACATGGTGAAAAACTTAGCAAATTTCCCATCTTCGGCTTTCTTTTTAAGCCTTTGAGGGAAAGAAGGATGTGGTCTTGGTATCTTCTGTAGAGGCATAGTTCCCTCAACTTTTTTTCCTTTGCTCCTGCTGGTTTTGCTATTGGTTGAGCGTCCTCAAAGTCATCTACATGTTCAACTTCGGCCTCCTCTCTTCTAGTTTTCTCCAACATCTGTTCATGCTTAGTACCTGCAGAAATAGGGTCATTAAGAATCTTATCACTCCTAGTGGTGATAGCCATGCAATGCCCATCCTTCTTAGGATTTTGAATAGTTTCACTTGGTAGTGACCCATTATTCCTCTGGTTTAGTGATGCTAAAAGTTTCCCCAACTGTTGCTCTATTTACTTGATGGAGGTGTGTGTGAGAGTCTACCAGTTGACTCATACTGGAGAAATCACGTTTCATCTCCTTCACCCCTGCATTAGTTGACTCAACTTTTTGGAGCACCTTGGCCAAAATGTCTTCCAACTTAGACCCAATGGAGCTACCACTTGCCCAGTCTCTATTACATGGGGGCACATACACACCACTGCAATCATTTTTGTACCCATCTCTGTTCTGCCAGTTTCCTACTCTCTATTTACTGGCGTGTCATATTGTCCTTCTCTGGAGTAGTTCTGACCTGCGTTTCCAAATTTGTAACCTTGGTTTCCCGAGTTATAATTCCGGAAACCTCCTTGGTTGCCCAAGTATTTAGCCTCCTCATCTAGATCGATCTCCTGATCTTCATACCTGTTTGGAGGTCCTAAAGCATTTACCTTTTCAGAACTTGCGACAATATGCTTCGTGAGTAGATCTATATGGGTCCTCATGTGTGCCATGTCCTGATCCCTCTCTTCTTCTCTTTTTCTTTGTTCAGCTAAAAGTTCAAAAGTGAACCCAAGATCTCCTACTTCTGCATCCCTGGTGTACCATGCCCTATTATTCTTAGACACCTCATCCGTCAGCTACATACTCTCTGAGAATGGCTTCCTTATGAATGATCCTCCACACACTGCATCAACAACAGGTTTAGTAACATAATTTAAAGATCTATTAAAAGCCTGTTTCAGATGTCTCTTAGTAAGACCATGGTTTGGACACTTTTTCAGGGTTTGGCTGAATCTCCACCAGGTGTCATGCATTGCTTTTCCTGGTAACTGTTTGTGGGCACTTATCTCATCCTTCATCTGAAACTCTTTTGATTCAGGAAAGAATCGTTCCAGGAAGCCTTATTCAACTCAGTCCAGGTCCTGATTGAGTCATCTGACATCTCATTCAACCAAATTGTTGCTTTCCCAGTAAGAGACAATGGAAACAACCTTAATCTCATTGTTGTTTGGCTAACTCCAGGAATTTCTTGCGATTTTCATATCTCCACAACATTCATCAAATGTTGATTCGCATCATCACCAGCTACACCTCTGAACATACCTTTCACATTCAACAATTGAATCATAGTGCTGGTGATTGTAAATTTCACACCTAGAGGTAGTGTAGGTAACTTTATCCCTCATGTGGCTCCAGCTCCGTCCAAGTCTAAGTCATCCTCTTCGTACATCATGTGAGTTGGATGTTGTGATCTACCCCTTGGGGCTAGTGGTTGGCGGTGGGGAGGAACTATTTCATCCACTCCTATGTGTTCTTCCCCCAACCCAGGCGGGTTGTTCACAACATTCTGTTGAATACCTCTTGTAGCAGTTTTAGCTTCTAGTCCCAGTCTTTGCCTCTGAGCCTCAAGTTCTTATGCATTCACCATTTTACGAATAGTATTTCGAAGTTCTGGGTTGTAAGGAATCAATGGAGCTCCTTTACTTCTAGTATTTGGCATACACAGTCGAACTCACCTGAAAGAGACACAGACAAAGAATAAGACGTAAAATTAGGAAATATCACTACACTTCCAATAAAAGCTAGTAAAACACTTCTAAATTAAAATTCCCTGGCAGCGGCGCCAAAATTTGATACGTCCAAACTTACACCTCAATTAAGAAGTATGAACGGTCTAAGTCAATTTATAGAACTCAATGTGAGTTCAGGTCAATCCCACATAGAATTTCTTTACAGAAATGATTTCACTGTCGCGTTTACCCAAATGTTGTTATTATTTCCTAAAGAAAACAATTACGTAATGTAAATTGGGTTTAGTTGTAATGTCCTAGTACCTAAGATTGGTAAGCAAAATCTAGATTAACAATAACAAAGTATTAATTCTAAAGTTATTTCGATAATTAAATGAAACTAGGACTGTGTTCCCTATAATGTTGCATCTAATGTTTTTCCGTAAATGAGTTTCAGGCAATTCATCTCTGCAAAATACAGGCGAGTTTGATATATTTAAAACTTCTCAGTCTAATTAGATAACTTTCACTCAAGCCCTCTCGTTCCTAGAGTGTTAACAAGTTTTACCCTCGCTTACGATAGTGTTAAAGTTCTTTTCTCTCGAACTCGAACTTTGACTCCGTTTCTTCAGGTTAATTCAATTTTTTCCCAACTACCATTTTTCTCTCGAACAAGTGACATATACAGCCTAACTCTAATGCGTGCACTTATTAGAATATATGAATAACGAAAGGTAAATTATAGTTTGTAGATATAAATCGCCTTCCACTCATCTTACGAAATTATACTTAGATTTACATCATAGATCCCACAATCCCAGTTGTGGTATTTAGCCACTAATGATTTCACGTAAACATACATAATTATATAATGAAAACATGATAAGAAAGTACTTACGAAAATAAGCAAAATCAATAAGCACTTTAATGATTCAAAATCCAGAAATCTAACTTCAAAACTGATTCAATGTTAATCATTCAAAATTAAAGCTAAGAATATTTGAAACTTCATCGCTCGTTCAAGATAAGACGAGATAAAAACTAAAAACAACCTAATTAATTCAAATAAAGTCTCTAAAATGAGTCCTACTCGAAGTAGGACTGAGTTGTTGCGCCACTTCACGAATGCCACCACGGTCCGTCAAAGGCTTCACTGTCCGTGAAGCCCTTTGTGGTCTTCACTTGTAATTCTCCAAACTTGGGT